GGTGAGTTGGGTCAGAGGAAATAAGGTTTATATTGTAGACTCCTAGATATAGGGGGAAAAAGGCCCTGTTTGTGTCACACTGTTAGTAGATAGAAAGCCCTCTTACACTCTTAAAAATGTCCTATTTTGTATGACAAAGTGTATGGTCAACCTACTTATATGACTTTTGGATTTAGTATTACATGAATGTATAACATCTTTTTTATTAAATAAAATGTTAAAGAAAATACAATACAGTGCCTTTGACAGCAATTTAAGAACATTTTTTCTTTGTGTAATTATATGCATTTCCTTGGTTCTTATAAGGTAAAACAAATATCTAGGAAGCTCGTTAACCTGATTTAATTCAACCTGCATGCTTGGGTCAAACTAATCTTAAGAAGCACAGCTTTCATCATATCATTCCCCTTCTAAAAAAAAAAAAAATTACCTAACTATACTGTGAGCAAACTACATCACACCTTCTTTATTTGACCTTGAAGACTTTTCTAAAGTATGTCCTCAACCAACCTTCCCACCCTGCTCTGAAATTTTAACTCTCAGTTTTTCTGTAAGTGGCCCATAGATACACCTGATTCTTTACTGCTTCCCTGTATTTACTCCTAGTGTGATCTCCACTGGGAATGTCTCCCTCCATCTGAATCACATACATCTTTTAAGGTACTAAGCAACTCAAGACCTACCATTTCCTTGAAGTCCTACCCTAAGCCACATCTCACTTCTTCCAATTATAATAAGAACTTCTATCACATTAAATGTAAGTTATAAATAGATTTTGAAATTTTCTCAATTAATTTTGAAAAAAATTAAGAACACCTATTTTATTGAGCACTAGAACAGAATTGAATAATAACTGATATCAATGTCAACACATCTCTCTCATATACACACACATGCAATGTCCCTAGCCCCCAAACCTCTAGAATTATAAAACTCAGTAGGGTTTCAAAGGTTGTGTATCCTAAAAAAAAAAAAAAAAAAAAAAAAAAAACTAGACATCTCTATTTTACAATTTTCTGTAGTGTCTACAATATAACATAACATTTAATTTTATGAAGTTATATATTTTTCTGATTTTTTTATGAATGTATATCTGATCTAGCTAACTTATCTGCTCCTTATAGAGTAACTTATTGTGGTACCTAATCCAAAAATAAACAGGTATGATTTATGTTTGATTTATCAATTGGCATCATTCTTCTTGATGTTTAAGTGTGCCATGACTTATAGTTAACCCTTTACTTAGAACTCATATCATACATGTTTGTGTCATTTACTTTCCAGAATCTCTCATACTTATTGGTTTCATTCCCAATACCCTTTCTGTGTGCCCTATGCTGAAAAAAAACAAAAAAAGAATATTCTCTTTTGAACAAAATTGGTTAGCATAGTGCCACGAATGAAAAAATAAGGGAATATGATTTTGTTCTAAACATAAGATTATAATTTAAACATATAGTTATAGACCTTAATAAGTTATTAACTTCTGTTTTAATCTATGAAAGAATACCTGCTATTTATAAAGTAAAACCATTTTTAATAATAATAATAACAATAATACCTCCCATAACTATTTCCAAGTGTGGTTCGCAAAACACCTCTATTAAAAGCACTTGGGCCCATCATTAAACATGCATATTTGCTCTACCCGCAAATCAGTATTTCTGAGGGTAGAACTCAAGAACCTGCAGTTACAATAAGAAATTGACTACCTTATGTTATATATAATTTCATGCTTTTTTTATTTTACAAAAGATATCTTAAATGTGCACTTCACAATATCTTTTAGAGGAGGTATGTGAGCTTCACTTTCAGAAGCACTTCTCTGGAACACGGTAAACTATGTAATATGTACAAGATCACAGAGTACAGTGCCGGGCATTCATTTACTCATTCACTAAACGTACATTTATTGAATGTTTACTAAGGCTCTATTCTAAGCACAGAGACATAAGTGACCCAAGCAAAGACCATGGTCTTTCTTAAAGGCTCATATTCTACTGAGACCCATTTGGGCAACATTACAAAGGTGTGAACTGGAGCTGGGCCCCAGCCTCTTAGTTGAGTCACTGTACCAATGGCCTGTTCACTAAAGTGTAACATATATCAAGCAGCATGCACAAACAAAATACAAATACAATAAACCAAGATTCATTCTGTAGACATCATGGAGAGTGGAAAGAATACAGGCTCCAGGAGGAAAACAGATTTTGAACATCTGAACACTCTGAACAAGTTATTTAAACCTCTAAGCTTCAGTTAACAGAATGTACCTATACCTACCTGGAAGGAGCAACGTGAAGGCTGAAGAGATAACAACAAGTAAAACGTCTAGCATAGGCCTAGACAGAGTAGGTACACAAAATTGGTTCTCTTTTTCTCCACAATCAAATCAGAATCTTGTCTGACAATACCATAACAAACCTAAAAAGTTAGATTTTAGACTGAGTGGAGGTCAACTGTACCGTTTGACTTAAATCCCATCATAGAACTGCTTTCATAAATTTTATCCCATACTATACATTTTATCCTCCTCTGGGATAAAAATGGCATATTACTCACTAGGGAAAAAAATACATTTTGAGTTTTTCCATTAGAGTACCAGGCTATGCTTGGAACATCACTCAATTTCCAGGGAGAAATACATGCGATAACCTCTAAAAAATTATGCATAATAATGTACCTTCTCTTCTCATCAAACTAACGTAATATCTATAAACAATAAATATAGCCACACTACTCCTTCCCTCTTCAATCTTGTTTTGCACCCTTTGTTGCTAGTTCACAATAAGCCAATAATACTGGCCTTCTTTTGATTCCTCAAACCTATCAGACTCTCTGGAATGGAGGGAGGCATCATGCATAGTTTTGCCAAGTTGGGTCCCTCCTGAAACATCAAGTCTTCAGAGAAACCTTCCCTAACTGATCATCCTGTAAAGATGAGGCTCCACTGTGAAGGGTGATGTGGCAAATTCTCCTAACAATAGAGCAACCTGGATTGGTTCCAATCAATCATCTGACAGCATGAAGTTATGCTGCAGCACAGATATACAGCTGTGCAGTTTGATAAAAGTTCACACACAACATGATACAATCCTGTGTGAGCATAAGCTAGCAAGCAAAATTATCCAGGGCTTCATAAGTGAACCCACCTATGAAGCTGCTGCTGAGAGGTTTAGGGAACTAACATATATTGCTGATAAGATAAGGGAAAACAACTTTCTTAAGAACTCCCAGTATGACCTGATTTCTTTAATCTGCTTTTATTTTTGGCTGTCCAACCACATTTTGTGAAGATACTTAGAAGTATGATAATGGTCTGAAGTATAATATTATAAATGCTAATAGCCCCCTGTACTCTTCTTCAGCACTCCTTTTATTGGTATGCAATGGGTATCTTCTGCTAATGCTTGTTCCCACTTGACAGTTCCAGGAGGGCAAGAACTACGCCTATCCTACAGTGTGCTTAATCCCAGTGCCTTCCTCAGTCCTTGGAATACATGCAATAACTTTTCACTGGTCCAATGAATGACCTAAAGAGAACTGTATCTAGGTGAAAGAGATACAGTACAGGGGAATTAAGTTTGCTTAATTTAATATACTTAAAAGTATATAAAACAATGTTTAAAGACACCATAGTAAGTGCTCAATAAATGTTATTATTTGCTTAGCTATAACAAAAATTACCCAAGTATGGTACCAAAGAAAAGGAAAGTTGTTGTTGACTGGTAAATTATAAGGCTGAGGACACACTGTATGGTTATCCCTTTCAGAAACAGTATGGTGTAGTATAGGAACCATGGAAAGGATAATGAAAGTCCTTCACTTCAGCAGTCTTTCATTCATTTTAGCACTTTTATAATTTTAAAAGACCCAGATGTTTTCACATATTCCCAATTGAATTCAGTGTCCTTAAAATCAGCACTCATTATTGTGCATGCTTGACCATATAAGAGACTATGGGATAAAATAAAGAGAAATATGTTCATGCTCCATTCTCTAAATAAGTAGAAAAACTCGTACTCTGAATATTTTAAGAAAAAGCCACACATTTTTTTCTGTGACTTATAAAAATGAAACAACAGAGGATGAAAGCACAAAAGAACTTATATCTTAAGACATTAAAATCCCACAGGTGTTTTGAACTAAAAAGAAATAAAGACTGCAAAAGAGAAGAGTTGAAGTCACTCCCCTTGGTTATCCCAACACTGCAGCACTATTTCCTAAAGAATTGACTGAACAAAGTGATTCAGGGAAAGAATACCTGCTAGAACAAGATTTGTAAGCCTACAAACTCAGTTTGTTTTGAAATGCATGCCTTTCAGTAATTTTATTTATTAGACTTCAGTATTCTTTTTTTTCTCTCACTTCATATTGTTTACCCCCAGACTCCATCTTTTAAAATCTAAACAACCACATTTTGTCCCTTTATATACTCCTTAGGAACTTACCAAGCAAATACTGGTGGCGAGAGATTGTCATAAAATGAAATAATTCTTTCACTGTCAAACTCTAACACATAAGACAAATCAGATTCGACTAAGCCTGAGGATTTAGGTAACAAATCTTCAAATACATAGTTACTTATAATATTCCAAAAGAAAAAAGAAACCCTCTGCTATGTACACATATTAAAAACCCTCTGCTATGTACACTCTGGCAAAAGTGAACATCTATGGTCTAATAAGCCATTCTACTTTACAAAAGAAATATTCCTAAATCACACAAAGGTTATTAAGTTTGGATAATATGATAAATGTGGGAAATGTGTTCACTACCTGATTTATTGCTTCTTTGTAAAAAAAGTATTCTTTTCATGGGACCATACTGAAATTTAGGCTTCAGTATAACTGTAATGAACACACTTCCATTTTACTTTAGTAAGTCATTTGCTTTCACTGGTTTCTTTTTAAAATTAATTCTAACTTAATCCTATAGGTTAATGAAGAGAAAAATTGTGTGGAATATAAAATTATTAACATTCTAAGAAGGATACCTACCTCAGGCCCTGTGATGTGCATCAGACCAGAAATAGCAGAGGCAATGGCATCATAACCAGCTCTTTGAGACATGGGGCCTGTCTGACCATAACCTAAAACAAGAAGAATAGACATGATCAGCACCATGCAGGGTGCACTATAACCATTTCACAATAGTGTGTTGAAACCATTTGTTTCCAGAAATCTTGCAGCATTTTGTTCCTACTTAGATCTATTCAATCCCTTAAAGGAGACACCAASAATTCATTACAGTGTTCTACCCCAGAAAGTCAAAAACTGCTGATCCCACCTGCATAAGTGTTTTGTTTGGCCTGAAAACATCTTAAAATAATTTTATTTAGTTGCCAACAATTAAAAGTCAAGAGATAATACAAAAAATGCAAATTCTGGTTTTTGTTGAAAAATTAGAAAATAAATTCAAAGATAGGCTTAAATTTTTACATGACAAAAAAAACTTTTTTTCTTTTCTTTTTTCTTTGTTTATATTTTTTGCATTATAGTTATACATATATTGGGATTCATTTTGACATAATTATATAATCATGGAATTAATTTGCTCCAATTCAGTCCCCAATACTTCCTCTTTCCTTCCCCTCCTCCCTTCCCCTGTCCCCTTTCCTCTATTCTACTGGTATTTCTTCTATGTATTTATGGGGTTTTATAATTAGTGCATTATAGACATACAGAAAGGTAAAATTTACTGTGGTATATTCATATTCATATTCATATATACACATAGGTCAGTTTCATTCCACTATTCCTCCTTTTCCCGTCTCTCCTCCTTCCCCCTCAATTCCCTTCCTTTCTTCCACTGATCTCTCTTCATGGTGTGTCCTTCCCATACCCTTTTTATTTTTTCTTATTTTGGTCTAGCTTTCACATATGAGAGAAAACATTTGAGCCTTGACTTTTGGGTCTGGCTTATTTCACAAAGCATGATGCTCTCCAGTTCCATCCATTTACCAGCAAATGCCATAATCATATTCACAATAACCTAAAAAAAAGTACTTGGGAATAAATCTAATCAAGGAGATGAAAGACCTCTACAAATAAAAACTAGAGGCAGTCAGCGGCCACCATCCGGGAAAGCTGAAGGATACACCGCCACTCTCCTTCAGAGTGCGACATCAAAACAGGTCGGTGTCATTCAGCTCACCCCCCAGACAGCGGGAATTCGCATAAAATCT